TTAAAATTAGATCAAACATGATATAGTTCGGATCAAGTCCACAGATAGTCAAGTTCACACATTTTTTTTGAGTCGCCTTTTATACTGATTCAGTGACCAAAGTGCGCACCGATTAACAATTAGCATTTTTGCTACGGTAAAATAACCGAGTCCTGGATTTCCCGGGGGTTTGAGCGAGCGTCGCGTCGACGGTCTACTGATGGCCACGTGCAACTCTTTACCTGACCTTTTACCCTACATATTTTCATGGAATTTTGCTGAATAGGATTTACTTTTAGTAGTTTAGGATTACTTTTAGGATTTACTTTTAATAGTTTCATTGAATGAATACAATAAATTCTTCCTAATTTACATAAAAATGATCAATTTGGTAAGAGGAGATGCGATTGAAGATTGGAGAAGATACACCCTCTCTTGCGGCTCGGTTTTATAATTACCGATTATCAACAACTATAAAAATGGCACGAATAATAGTATCCCCCCTTCCAAAATGATACATTTTTCTGCAGAATCTGAGCGTCAATTTGGGTGAATTTACTGTACATTGCCGTTGTTACGTCGTAAAGACGATTCGAACAAGAGTAACGATTTGATTCCTGCACTTACAGGAAAACGTGGCTTCCGTTCCAGCTCTTGTCCTTCGTCGTGATATCTACAACCCATCCGATGCGTTATTGGCGCTGAGTTTCAAAGATCTTGTATCTAAACAGTGTCGCTCTTTCTCGATGTTCAACCTCTTAAAATTTCAGGGTTGATGGAAAATGTACAGAAAACTGTTCCTTCACACCCTCCATGTGTAGGCTCGTCTTCAAACTGTAGTCGAATCTTTCCCTTGACGTCATCTCTTACCCATGGACTCTCCCTTGCTGTCATCTCTTAACCAGGCCTTCTTTTTCCGTCGTCGAACGAAGGCTCGAGCAGCATAACTTCACTGATATTTTCTTTCGAACGACATGTGTACATACCTTCTTTGACATTGCTTTTAATATTTCATGTGTTAAGAATTGGTTTTTCTGATGCTTTCTTCGCAAATAAAATAAGTTACTTACTACGTAACAAGTATGGTCTAAAGCATGTCGTGTTTGATACTGTTACGAGCCGAGGGCTAGGCAGTTTGGGTGGCCGGAGGTTGCATGCAATTGGAATCTTTTTGGTGAGGTGCGTAGACCAGCCGATGTTTATTTCGACATGGGTGGCTACCTTTTAGGTTAGGATGAGGTGCGTAGACCAGCCGATGTTTATTTCGACACGGGTGGCTACCTTTTAGGTTATGATGAGGTGCGTAGACCAGCCGATGTTTATTTTGACACCGGTGGCTACCTTCAAAGGGGTTTGGATGAGGTGCCTAGACCAGACGATGTTTATTTCGACACGGGTGGCTACCTTTTAGGTTAGGATGAGGTGCGTAGACCAGCCGATGTTTATTTCGACACGGGTGGCTACCTTCAAAGGGGTTTGGATGAGGTGCGTAGACCAGACGATGTTTATTTCGACACGGGTGGCTACCTTTTAGGTTAGGATGAGGTGCGTAGACCAGCCGATGTTTATTTCGACACGGGTGGCTACCTTCAAAGGGGTTAGGATAAGGTGGTTGGAGAAATTGGTGTTAGGGTGCCTCGTAACTTTGTTAAAAAGAAATAAGCATATACCTCGAGCGGCTGAGGTATACCCTGGTGGGTTCTTACCTACTACTGGTTCGAAGCAGGAGATGGTAATGGTTAAAGTAGAAATCAAAAAAGAACTGGTAGAAACTAATTTATTGCGCGCTGTATTTAACAAGTGTGAGTGTGTGTTTGTGGTCACTAAACGCGCTCTCAGTTTTTCTCACTGAGCCGGCGGGGGCTTTCGATTCTAGG